GGAGGACAATTACCATCCATTCAAGCTCTCATCATTTTTATTCTTGAGGTATCAAAGAGCTGATTATAGTCATGAACTCTTTGTACTCTTGGTCCAGTGACCAAACGATTCCTAAAAAAACCTTTCGTCTTACAGAAACATCAATCAAGTCATGGTACTTAACAAACACATAATTCATCCAATTCTGAGCGACACAATGTAAAGAAAAAACAAAAACAAAAACAAGTGTGTTGTCATTTATGTGAGAGGTGCATATTGTCCACATTAATTTCAACATGATTCAAACTTGCAATGTGGTCAGAATGAGCTAGATCTAACCCAAAAGGCTAAATGTTACAAACATGTTGATGATATGATTATGATCATAATATAATTGTTCAAGATCATGTATATACAGTCAAACCTGCCCTGACGGCCACCTCTATAAGACGGCCACCTGTACAAACGGCCAGTTTCCATTTCCCCCCTTGCGTTTTTTCAATATAATTTAACTGTGTAAAACGGGCACCTGTACAACGCGGCCGCAGCCACCATATTTTAACACACAACGGCCAAATCTACCCGCCTAAGGCTGCCATACTTTGTCATAAATTAATTGTCACTGGGCACTGGCCCCTGGTGTTGTGGGCGAGCTGTCCAAATTCAATCACCTGTCGTTGTTGTTAGGTAGTCCCTCCAACCGATCATGTTGCGTAGGCCCCTCCCACTGTTGACCAATAGCTACCAATAAATGTTCAGCTGCTGGTGAGGTGAGCGTGGGATCCCTCAAAACCCATAAGCCCCGCCCAGAACTCACTCTGTAAACCAAATCCATAACAAAGGACGTCAACATGAACTTGTGACAGAAGCATCGCTCGTTCTCCGAGTGGTGGCGACCCATGTGTTTTAACACGGCACTCGGTCTTCCTCGTCTGATACATTTCGTTTTATTGTCACCCTTCCCGGAATCATAATTTAAAAATAAAAATAAAACTAACTAACAAAACGTCTCATAAAAACCGTCGTATCCTCTCCCCTTTCAAAAGAAAACTACCACCACCAACAACAAAAACAGCAACAACAAAAACCAACCGAACAAAACAACAACCAAAAACAAACAAAGTACAAAGAAACAAAAAACAAAACTCAAACCAAGGTCTACCCCAAAGAGAAAAAAATACCACTCCCCCTCCCATTTAGAAATCGGTTGAGTTGAGCTTAGAGCCCATGTATCGTGAGGTGGCCGACGACGGGGAGCCTATCATCATGACCACTGAAGCAGTGTGGAAAGTTAATCACTGCATACTACGTAGAATAGAAAGCAAGACACAACAAAGGAACCTACATCCAAATAAATAGGTCAATGTTATTCATTTTAGTTTTAGTCGTAAGACCTAGATCTAATCTGCTGTTATTCCGCGCAGTAGTCACTGATGAGTGAACCTGCCTGCGTAGTCGGCATTTTTTGTATTTGTTACTGGCCAAATCAGCAGGACAAAGGTGAACTAACTAAGAATAGAATCATGGACTACAACAGTGATTCTCTCTGTGCGCACAAGGCACAAGGTGCCAACCCGTGAAGCAAAACAAAGTAGGCCTACAGCAATTTTGTGTGTGTCATAATTAACTGTACTCCAGAGGATTAGAAAGGTCATAAAATATAAGCCACCTTTAAAGGTCGTTCCGAGAAAAAAAATGTGCTAAAGCAAAAACAGCTGGACGTAAGCATGATAATATTACATTATTACTCAAAATGCTTTCGAGTTTAAGTGATTTATGAAGGCCTGATCCCGATTTAAAGCCATCCAGTCATTTCTTTCAAATACTATGTTGTGTAGTCTTCCCTGGCGTGTGTCATCGTACTGAGAACTCTATCTCTTTAAAAGCAAAGTGTGACTTAGATACATGTCATGTACTTTATTTTTCGGATCCTTACAAGTCATGTACAAGATACATTGTATTAAGCCTATACCGGCACCAGTGTCCATCGTGTTAATAGTTTAGGCTATAACTACATGTATACCGGTACACACAGGACTGAATCCAGGGCGCTCTCTGCGAAGCTAATACATGCAAAGACACTTACCAGCCAGAAGGACTAATACATTACAGGTCTACATATTCTTCAACTTCATAGCTGACCTGTCACTAGGCCCTGCCCTACAGTAAACTGACACTGCTGTTTCACTTTCTGTCTCTACGTGTTTTTGAGACTCAGATTGTGATCCATGTGCAGAGGACACAGGATCGAATGGTTCGAGGAGCCGATCAAAGACGCAATATTAGATCTCTCTGTATAGGCCTATTATCATACTGTGTGCAGGAGTTACACATTTCAGCCCACTTGATTAAAAAAAAAAGTAATGCACCACGGAGCAGGAGAGGTCTTAAAAACAGATTTACCCCCCTCAGGCCTAAACAACTACAATTCCGTCTACAGTAGAGCCCTGGTAGAACCAAGAACATTAGAACATATTCTCCTTGAGTAGGTAGAACCTAGGCCTTCTCAGTCCCTAGGGTAGAACCCATTATCGCGGTAAACCGCGGCCAGTCTGGCGGACGAACAGCAGAACTTAGTCTTAGTAGAAGAAGAGAGCATTCCCGCAGTAGAACTTCAGGGGGGCAGGAACTGCGACACCCAACATTTCCTCTAGTTTATATACGGCCTACTCTAACTCTAAGGTATCAA